GGGGGGAGGGTAGACGTACAATAAAAGCTCTAAAGCTCTTCTTTCTTCTGAAACTATAAATCAATCGTTCTTCTACAAATTGTGGAAATGTGAAATATTTTACGAAGAAAAGGTACTCTTACTTCGCTCAGACGCACCATTTTCCAATTAAATGACTTTAATATACATATATATTAACTTGAAATTATGCTGAAAAAAAGCTGAAACTGTCGAATTTGGCCAAAAAAGTGCTGTTTAATCAGGACAACGCACAGGTGCACACGTCCATGAAGACTACGAACTACTACGCCATCCAGCGTATTCTCCAGATTTGGCCCCCTGCGACTATTTTCTGATTCCCAACCTGTAGAAATGGCTGTTCGGTAAGAGATTTGGGTCCAATTAAGAAGTCATCATTGAAACAAACGCATATTTTGTGGACCTCGAAAAATATTATTCGGAAGAGATAAAAAAATTGGGAAGACGCTGGAATACTAAGTGTATCGAGCTAAAAAAAAAAGAAAATAAGGGCGCGAAGTATGAATACTATACAATTAGGTATAAGATAATACCAGAATTTGATACACTTTCAACTTCACTTTTTTGCTCATATGTACTTTTACACTACTGTTTAGCGCAGTCAGCCAGACATTTCCTACCAAGGATGAGCTTTCCATCAGGCAAAGTAATGTCTAAAGTTAACGGGACATCCTGTATAAACAAATTGTATTTGGTGCTCAATAGGCTCTTGACCCAATCGCTCCTTTTCTTCTTTAAATACAGATGTTTATTGGTTTCAAAAATTTTATTGATAATACGATTTTCAAGTACATCTAGATTTTGTTATCAATCGGTCCCCATATTAGCAGCAAACTTATCTTAACGTCAATGAAAACTGCCGAATGGCTCTAGTGTAGGAGTAATTTTTAACAGCGGAAGAGAAATATTACCGTACGCACTTTTCTAATAAAAGTTAATTTTTAATAGGATTCAATTATAGTAGGTGCAAGTCTGAGTGAACGAAATTGACGAGAACACCAGCCTGAACTGCTCTAGTTGAGTTGCTTATAATTTCATGTAATAGGTATTTTACGCTAGTAAAATATTTTGCAGTTTTTTTAAAGAATTAAAATAAAAATGCAAAGATATGTTTTCAAGCGCCGTGAAATTTGATGTACTTTAAATTTACGTCAATTCATATTTAGTAAATTCTTTCGCAATCAGCGTTTGTCTGATTTGTAGCAAATGCCACACTCTTAACGCACGCCCCACTGAACATATAATTTTCATTATTTAACATGCAATTTAATATGGTTTCCTTTTTTGTTTTTTTTTAATACTGTTTGTTGTTTCTATGCGTATTTGCTGTTTTTAAGTGCAATTAAAAACCTGCAGAGAAGAAGTTGCGGTAGACAAAAGTCAATATTTTTATTACTGCGCCCCCCCTTCAAAAAACTCCTAGATCCTCCGCTGATCTCAAGTAGGTTTTCTGCCTGGATAGATTTTACTCAAGCCACCTTTTTCGGCTTGCACAAACCTCAAGCTTGCGTTTTACTACACACCACACAACGATTTATTTGTGCGATCGGGCTTGTGCAAGCCAGTTTGTGCAAATGGCTAATGGTTTGAGCGTGTAAGCGGCTCTTTAAAGGATCGAGATTCATGGTTGTCCTCAAGGTGTTCTTTATTTTGTTTGTTGTAAACTTTTATTTTCGTAATCGAAGTTTCTAAGCAGTGATACAAAGTGACAATGTTTTAATGATTTTTGTGAATATAAATATGTTAATAATACGTATGCACACTTTTAACGAGCAACCCTTTATATAAAATTTACATTTCTATATACCATGGTATTCAATTCTCCAATATTGTATAACAGTGCTGCACTAATTTTTGAAACTTTATCTTCTGTAAGTATAAAACTGTTACGAAAGTGTTCTAATTGTACAGAAAGCATTTTTTATTATCAATTTGCCACGTTCAAACTACTTTCTACATAAATTATTACAAAGTTTAAAAAGTATTTAACACCAAACATGTTTAGAATACTTTCGGTTGGTACTACAAAAAGTCAGCAAACAATCAAAGCTCTTGTGCTCAGTCCTTAAATTCTAATAAAAAGCAACGATGCGATCATCGTACCAAAAATAATAATCTCGTTTTTGTTGTCTGAGGCCGAGTTGCAGCGGTCGGTGTTGCACCTCGAGCAGTGTTCTTTTTTAAGAAACTCTGTGTCCTTTGTCTTCAGCTTGTAGCAAATGTCCAGGTTGGCTTGCTCGGCTAGCTGGCAGCCACGAAACGTGAATTTTTTATTTCCCACTGAAAATACAATACCAATTAAATAGATGTGTGATGACAACTTATCTGAGCCCAAAAGTACATGATTTTGGGTACGTGCAAAAGTACATAAAGATTGCATAAATGCCAATTTGCCTTTAGAATGTGGTACATTTTTTCTATACTAGTGAATATGTGCGTCGTTGAAACATGTTAATATAAAATTTAAATCTGTCTTGTTTAAAGTTGTCTGCTGTGTGTTGTCTGAGAAAGGAGCTCTATAATCGCCTGTTAAATACAATTTCATATTTTAAACGTTTTTAACCCAAAAACGTGATTTTTCAGAGAGATTTGGATTTAAACCATTAATGTTGTGATATTTGAACAACCAAAAATTAATAGAATATGAGTGAAATTGCTTTTGAGTGAAATTGTTGCATCAAAACTAGCTCACAGATATCAGTGGTTGGAAATTGGAAATTTCTTCGAAATCTTATTATTCTGCAGGCATGGTAAAAATTAGGCCTGTGTAACTCATTTAGTTTTTAAGAGTTGGCGCAGTGCTACGCAAATGGCTTGGTGAAGGCGCAGTAACTCAGATCCGTTGCTGGGAAAATGTTGATGACTTTTTTTTTTACTTGTTTTTAGATTTATTTTAATTTATTAATAAAAGTTTTAAACTTTCTTAAAAATTTCAGAATTTTCTAGTTTTAGTCAAGTTACTCTTTCTTCTAAATGCTCAATTTTCTAAAGTTTCACTTAAAAATTTTGCCAAACTTAACAAAGTATTTTCCGTGAAAAATTATGAAGTAAATTTCGAATCCTTGGTCGCTTTATAAAAAGTTCCATCCGTTCAAATCCCTTTCCAGCGTCGAAATTGGAACAGAAACCAAATCATTTTCTATCAAAAAACGAACAGAACAGGCGAAAGTTTATAACAGAATATAAAGAATTTTTTTTGCTCGCTCTATTTTATAGTTGGATTGGAGGTATTTTATGCGAAAAATTACAAGATAAATTTATAGCTTGTGAAAATTTTACTAAAACTTTTTTCAGCGTCAAATTCGAGACAAAAACGAAAATAAATTCTTTCTCTCGTTTTTCTTTGAAAACCATTAAGGTTTTCTGCAAAACCGATATAAAAACTAAAAGTTTTTAATCGAAAACGCTAAAAATCATTATTTCATGATGATTTACTTCCTTTCAGACAAAAATTAATTTCCTCCGTCTCATTCATCGGTTTGCAGGGAACTTTAGAAAACTCTTTTCAGCTTCGAATTTGGCACAAAACCCAAATCCTTTTATTCAGTTTTTTACCGAAAGTAATTAGCATTATCTTGAAAAAACGGCCAAAGAGCAAAAGTTTAAAGTATTTAAAGTTTATATGCAAAAATCGCATTATGATTTAGTTAAAATACTAATAATTTTCAGGTATTTTCTGTAAAAAGTTATAAAATAGATTTTATTGGAACACTCGCCTGCTTAACAGTTTTGCAAAAAATTTTAGAAAACTTTTTGCAGCTTCGATTTATGGACAAAACCTTAATAATTAATTCTGGGTATTTCTCCAAAAATATTTCCCCGAACTGAAAAAGCGAAAATTTATAATGATTTATTCGGAAAACTCTTGAAAACTGGAGTTTCTTCACTTTTAAGTCAATATTTCTAAACAAAACTGTCACTAAACGAAAAGACCGGGTTTTTCCTAACGTTTTACTGTAGAATACTGGCAAATTAAATTTTTTATGCGAAAAATTAAGAGATTGATTTTACAAAAAAACTTGTCGACTTTCTTTGGGCTCATTTCTGTTGCTGGGAGAATCTAGACGACTTTTTGTTAGTTGTTTGAACAAAGTAGTAAAACATTACGAAGAAATAATTGATAACCTGTTTTTAGATGTGAAAATTCTAGTCTCGGATCTCGTAAAGCTTTAATAAATGAGTTAGAACTCATTAACCGATGTGTTATAACTTAACTTAACTAGAGAGCGGCAACAACTCAATAGCGCAACTCAACATAGCGTTACCCAGGCCTAGTAAAAATGTACTTTTATAATAAGTTCAAATATAACGGTGTTGCTTTTGTTTCATTAGCAATTTGCAAAATTGCAAAGTTTGCATTTCAAGTTTATTTATGACAATGTGAGAACAGGTAATAATCGTTTTTAAAGGAACTTCTTTGCTATGAAAATTAGTAAAGTAAACCAAGTCTTTGAGTTGGCGCCAAAGGAAGGAATCCAAGGGGTTTGGGTTAGCTTCGATTACTACTGCTTATAATATTATTAGTTTATGTAGGTACAACTGAATAATAATAAATATTCGGAGAATTTTCCAATCAAAAGGAGGAGCATCTGTGAGGCATTTTTGCCACAAACATTTAAAAACGTCGAATAAATGTTGAAATAATTTAAAATACAATTCATTGTACTTTGTACAAGAATGTTTAACTTGTAAGCCAGATAGCAAAAAATACATATCCGAAATACTGGCATTTTTTCAAGTATACCGCACGTTATATCATTGCAAACAATGTCGAGAAACCCTGTATTTGTTATGACTGACGTACAAAGTAATTTTTGTTTTCATTTGCACATTTATTTCAAATAAGGCCCACAAATGCCGCCCGCTACATTTTATCATGAAAATGAGMSTRGATTTCAATTTTCTACACCAAAAAATTCCTGGTCGAATATTATCACAAACAGCAGTTTTAATAGCAAATATTAATGCTTGCGATCACTTGGATTGAGACAAGTTGAGTTAACTAGTCGTACAACCAAATTTGTAGATGAGTTGTGTATATGAAATGCGATTGCTGCATATATTTTAATCTTTGTCACACATTGCATTAACAAGAGTTAAATTAAACCCTGTTGTTTGTGTATATTCAGCACTAGTACATATTTTTGAAATTTATTTTCCTGCTAGCAAATATCTAATGTAATAAATCACGTTAATGACAACATAAATTCGAATGAAACAAAGATAATTTAAGTTACTACTGAATATTTAATTATAACCGCTTACCTTTAGTAACAACCTTCAAACAATCTAGTTCTATGTGCCTGGCCATCGCGTGAGTATCAACTTCAAAGATTTTATCGTAGCTGGCATCAATGCGTTTGGCTATTTCTCGGGTTTTGTCCAATGCACTCTGATCGCACTGTATCAGAGACGCATTGTATGACTCTGGATACAGACAAGCCATTTCATTGTCCTTGGTGGAGCAAAGGTAGCATCTTACTCTCGTCTCTCCGGGCCCCAAAGAATAAATAAAAATAATAATCTACTTTTTCTTTCTTCTTTTCTTATATTTTTTCCTTTCAAACCGCGCTCCTATCGTTTGCAAATTTTTGTTCTCTATACAGACTGGTGCCACAGAAGCGAAATCGTATATACAGGGTGTCTATCAAATGGCCGTACTACATCCTATTAAGACTTCTAGGGTGAAATAGTAGTTTTCGATACAAGGGCGAAAAATGTCGTTTTTCGAACGACGACGACGTTTGAC